AGAGAGAGAGAGAGAGAGAGAGAGAGAGAGAGAGAGAGAGAGAGAGATGACACTGAGACTGAGGGCAGAGCCACCTTACCAGGGTGGTGATGATGACCAGGCCCACAGTCAGAGAGACTAGCAGCAGACTTGGTATGCCCCAGGTCCCAGAACCCAGCCAGGCCTGGGGAACATCAGACAAACTGGTCAGTGTACTGAGAGACTGGGGAAGGGCAGTGTTCTTATCTGTTACCCCATACTGGGACTGGGTGGGATGACCACAGAAGGCCTTCGGGTCCTAGGAAGTATATCTTAAACTCAGATGTCCCAGCCAGGTGTTGTGAGGGTAGGATGGGAGTCCCAGCTTAACCCACTCCATCCCACTGTTCTAGGAGTCCCTCAGAGTTTACTCACCGAAGGTCCCAGATGGTTCAACACTGTGAGCGAAGAGGAGATGAGGTGTGTGGTGTTCTGCAGCCAGGAGTGGCCATGGCCACTGAGCCAGAGCACCCCACAGGCGAGCTGGGGCAGTCAGGGGTGCAGACTGAGTGTACAGCTGCACCCCTTTGCCCCTATATTGCCCTGCAGAGCTCACTTTCAGCCCCCAGGAAGCTCCCAAGCCTCTCAGACTGGGCAGTGGAGGGAAGGGTGGTATACCCAGAGGAGGCTCTTCAGGAGAAAAGCTAATCACAGGCAACTGAGACAGCCCTCCGACAGGAGACCCCACAGGTACACACAGAAGGGAAGTCTTCCAGAAAGGCCTCCTTAGACAGGAGGTCTTCTGAGAAAACTCTGAAGGACACAGGGCTTAGGGACCAGAGATCCCAGCCTTTTTAGCTAGGGATTAGGGTTGGCAGAATATGAGGAAATTAATTCCTGATACTGTAGCTAAGAACTCCGGCCTTCCCTTCGCTCCAGTCATGAACACTTGAAGTAACTGAGGCCACCAGAAAGACCCTCAACCCTCAACCTCCCCAGACAGCCATATTTTGGAGAAGTAGAAGGCTATCCCTCAACCCACCCTCTCTTCAGGCCCTGGTGAGGCCCGTGACATTCTTACCAGGAACTGAGAGGCAGCAAACAGGCACAGGCTGCTTCTGACGGTGAGGGAGTGGCTCCCGGCGCCTTGAGGTGGCAGCTTCTGAGCTGGCTCAGAGGGTGGTGAGGGTGGCGGGGGTGGTGGCATCTCTTTCTGCTTGCTGGGGAGTCCTTCGGCCTCGTCCAGTGCTTCCATCTCTACCGGCTGGGGGAGACCTTTGGAAGGCGGGACAGGAGATGTTGGTGACTTGGCTCTGTCTGAGCTCAGGGCTCTGTGGACCTCTGGTGGTCTGGCCCCTTTTGGGGTTGCTGTAGCTTTCCTTTCAGTCAGAGAGGCTCCACTTACAGCAGTCACCCTCAGTTAGCAAAGCAATATTCACCTACCTTCGTCAGAGAGAGCTACGTGTGGGTGGACAAATTATTTCTCTTTTATTTCTGCAGTAAGAGAGTTAAAATGGCAGGGTTTTTTCAGAGTTAATACCGTTGTATTTACGCAGCTTCATTCTTTTCCATTTCTTAAGGAAACAAAAACAACTACCTCAAACTCAATTAAAAAAGCAAGAGGAAAAAAAAAAAGAATCCGGCATAAGCAGGCCGTGACCCTGAACAACCCGCCCACTCCCCGCTCGCAGGCTTGTCTTTTGTGATGTGTGCTCCAAGTGGGGCTGGAAGACTGAAATCCTGGGGTGCTTATGGCTGTGCATCTTCCCCACCTTGAGACCCCCCACACCAATCAGACCAGGAAGCAGAAGTCAGAGTAGTATGGAAGAAAATCATGGTGAGAAGAATAGATAATGGCTATCTGGTGTCTAGGTCTGGCATGACTGCAATTGGTACAGCCTAGGGTACTTGTTCTTTGAACCTCAGTTTCCCCATCTGAGAAATGGGGGCTGTGTTCAACATTATTAGACTTTCCCTTTTAAGACAAAAGGGAAATTTACTATTATTTAAAGACTTGTTTATTTAATGTATACAAGTACACTGTCGCTGTCTTCAGACACACTAGAAGAGGGCATTGGATTCCATTACAGATGGCTTTGAGCCACCATGGGGTTGCTGGAAATTGAACTCAGGACCTCTGGAAGAGCAGTCAGTGCTCTTAGCTGCTGAGCCATCTCTCCAGCCCCGATAATTATTATTTTTCATATGCATAGTTGTATGTGTCTGAATGTGGGTATGTGCACATGATTGCCTATGCCCAAGGAAGCCAGAGGTATTGGAGTCTCTGGAGCTGGAGTTACAGATGATTGTGAGTTGCCTGACATGGGTGCTGGGAACAAAACTTGAGTCCTTTAGAAGAGCAGCAAGTGCTTTCAACCACAGAGCCATCTCTCCCTATCCCCCAGTCTTTTCTGTCTTAAAAAACTGTTTATTAGTTAAGGGCATGTGTGCACATACCTTAGTGAAAAGAAGACTCTTTGAGGCAGAGTCTCTCATTTTTTGGTGCTGTGCTATAGGTGCTCCCAGCTGATCCTCCTTCCTGTCCTTCTCCCATCTTCCCTTACAAATGCTGGGATTTCATATGCAATTTGAAATCTTCTTAATTTTTTTTAAGCTGGGGATGGCCTTGAACTTCTGATCAGTGCCCTCCCCGAACCCCCACCCTGCCTCCTGGAGTGCTGTGGTTTCAGGTTTGTACCACCATACTTGGTTCACATGATGCTGGGGACCACACCCAGGGCCTGGTTGCATGCAAGGCAACCACTTTACCAATTGATCTATGTCTTCAGCCTGCCCCTGCTTTTCATACTGAGCCTCTATGCCCTGTCAGGGGCAGCACAGGCTGTCACCAAGTACTCTGAGTGCCTCTGCTTGTGCCTGCAGGGCAGAGGCTCTGCTCTGACCTGATTCTGGAGGTTGCTTTTCCATCAAGACTATTCCAAAGGGAGTTTACCTCTAACATGCTGGCTCAGATCTGAGCATCCTGATAGTGTGGGGAACCAGGAACAGCATCCTCATTGTGTTTCAGATGCTGAGATTTCCATCCAAACTCAGGTCAGTATCCCACCCAGAAGAAAGAACCTGACAAAGTAGATGTGTCCAGCTAGGCAGGACAATTGGGATGGGTCTGTCCACACATCACTCACTATTCATGTGGACTTGCCTGTGGAGCCGACACACCTGCACATGTGTTCACTCACTCAACATTTACCAAGCCGCTCATCGGACTTAGATGTGCAGGGTTATGCAAGAACCTTGGGCCTGGAGATGCCTTGTTAAGATTGCAGACTCCTGCTGCCAGCTGCAGACTCCGGATGGCTCCTGGATGCTGTCGTCCAGCTGTACCTTTGTAGTTCCCAGGTGAGCTGCTGCTGTGTCTAATATTTTCCTATTATTCCCTCTACCTAGAATATTCCTTCAACACCCCGCTCCCTCCTTTGCCACTGTCTGTGTCACCTAGGAAACCCCTATTCATCGTGTGGTTGACAATTAAATGTCACCGGAACTAGGTTCTGCCCCGTTACCCATGCCCTTCCTTCATACTACCACCCACTGCAAGATATCTTGGCACGCCTCTGTTCTGAATGCTGGCATACATTAATTTCACTTTTTATTGTGAGCATCCCTAGGAAGTTGGTACTGCCATCACTCACCCTTCTTTTACAAAGGAGAGATGAAGGGCATCTCCCCTGCCTCAAGGTGGCCTGTTTGGTAAATGGAAGAGATGGGTTCAGTTTGAGGCAGTCACTTGGGATTCTGGATTCTACACTCACTGTGGTTTGTAAAATGACATGTAGAACATCACTGGCTGTATTCACCTACAAGTCCCCGAGGCAGAGGAGTATCAGTTTGTTTGTTGGCATGTAGGTAGGATTGACCTGGTGAGTGCCAGATGGACAAGTGATATTATTTTACCCTGTTCCATTTGTTTGTTTGTATGTTTTTGACAGGTCTATCTCTGGCTGGCTTGAAACTCACTATGTAGATCTCTGACCTTGAACTCAGAGATCTCAAGTGCGGGATTAAGGATTTGTGCCACCCTGCCTGGCTCCTTCTCCCCCTTTTCTTCTTTTACTCAATAAAGCGGTGGTGGTGGTAGGGGGGATAATATATACTTTGCAGAGGTGCTATGAAGACTTTAGATACTACAGATAAACTGTATGCTTCCTGACACTTTGCAGGCACCTGATAAGTGGCAGGTCATACTACAGTTTGCGCTTTGGAACAAGTGATTGCTAGTTCCGTGGGAAAACCAGAACAAATAAATATGTATACGTGATGTGTCAGAGCCCTGGTGAGATCTAAGAGGGAAAGAGGAGGGCGGCTCATCGTGGTGGGCACAGCTCGTGACCACCAAGTTCAGTTTGATCCTGGGTGCAGAGAGGAAAAGCTGCTACTAGAAGCCAAACTGTGTCCCCTCTGTAGGAGAGTGATTTCACAAGGGCAAGGCCCCCATGCACGCATTTGACAGTGATGTCATGTAGGGAGGGGTGCGAAGGTGCAGGCCAGGGCCACTGGCTTCTCAGCCCAGCTCAAGCTGCAGCCCTTGAGTTGTGTCTCTTCCCTGGGCCTTTTCCTGTGCATATGTGTGCACAGGAACGTTTACTGGAATCTCGTTCCTCAGAGGTTAGAAACATTGAGCTCACATAGATTGGGACTTGGTTGCTTTCTTTGAAAAAAAAAAAGATAGGTTTTCTCTAACCTACACTGTGGCATAGTCCTCAGTTTGATATTAAAATGTTTTTCCCCTCCCAAAGTTTTGAATCAAATTTGTGCTTCAGGAAGATGGGTGACATTTATCCTGTGGCTTTGCCCTCAGGGTTACATGTGCTCCAGTCAGAGAAGCATGAAACTTGCCTGCAACCAAGTATCATGCAGCCACTATATTATGATTCTGTGGATGAATATTGAGTAACACGGAAAGAAAGTTTGGAAGTTTGGAGTGTGAAAGGTGAGGCCATACACAGTGCGACCCTACTGGCCTTAAGCTGTAAGAAAAAATGTGCTCAGGAGAAGACAGAGCATGCCCGATGAGGAGGGGATGGTGGTGCACACAGGTAGCATGACAATCTGATGCACAGTAAGTGTTAACAGCAGTCTTTGTGTACTTATTGAGAAAGGGTGCCAGTGTGTAACCCTGCTGGCCTACAACTCTCTATGTAGACCAGGCTGGCCTTGAACTCACAGGGATTCACTTGCCACTGCCCCCCAAGTGCTTAGATCAAAGTCATGTGCCACCATTTCAGTCATGGGGGAGGGGAGGAGAGGACAGGTGATTTTATTTATATATCTTAAATTCCTATCTATCTATCTATCTATCTATCTATCTATCTATCCATCTATCATCTATCAACATATTTGTAGCAAGAAAGACATTCTTAAAAAGAAACAAAAAATTCTGAGTTCAGCTCTCATTAATTCTCTCAATTTTCAGGCTCTGACTCCATCCACACTTAGAAGTGTGGGATACAGAGAATGCCAGTGCACATAGCTCTGCATCTAACATATCAGCCACTCAGGAGGCAAACAAGCCTCTCTGGGAACCTGTGGCCGTTACATTTGCATCTAGGAGATGGCAGACTGACCGCATGTCTATGATGGGGCTCTGGATGGAGATGTCAGAGAGAAAGGTGGAAGCTTTACACATTATTTTCCCTTTGAGACACAGTCTCACGTATTACAGCTTTGGCTTCTACCTCTCAAGTGCTGGGGTGATAGACATGCATAACTGCACCTGATTTTATATGACGATGGGTTCAAGCCCAGGTCTTTGTGCATGCTCGGGAGGCACTCTGTTAACTGAGCCAAATAGCTTTAGCCTAAGGCTCTGTATTTAAAGAAAAAGTCTCGGGGGGTTCTGATGAACCAAATGATGAGATTTACCAGGCACCAGGCAGATATACATCTTTCAGAGCAGAGTTTATATAAAGTCATTTTCTGGGGCCAGTTAGATGACTCTGTGTTAAGGTCATTGCCATACAACTTGGTAACCTCAGGTTCATCCCTGGAACCTACATAAAGGTGGAAGGAGAGAATCAATTTGATGAAGTTATCCTCTGATCTTCACATGTGTCATCCATGTGTGACTCCTCTAATATACCTCTTTCTCCTCCCCTACACTAATGATAATATGAAAATTAAAAAAAAAATTGGGGACCAAAAAGGTGTCTCAATGGCTAAGAACACTCACTATTCTTTCAGAGGACCAGAGTTTAGTTCCCAGTACCTACATTAGGAGGCTCATGGCACCACATGCATGAATGTTAATATGTATA